TATTAAGGCAGTACACTGTACTGTATAGAATCAGCAGGCTGTCCTGTGATTCTGTGACAGCCCCAGAGCTGCCAGGGGACAGGGGTGCCCAGGCAGCTGCCTGCAGTGCTTGCAGGGCAGCCGTGGAAGGGCTGGTCCCATCCCAGCAGGAAATCCCGTGGCCACAGCCACACCAGGTTGAAAAGCTTGAATTCTCTCCTATGCCTTTTGGAGCCAAAAAGGCCTCCTGGACTCCTACTCAAATGTTTTGGTGGCTGCAGCCTTAGAGACTGGAGGTAAAGTGAGCTGTAGCGATGCTGTGTGAAACAAGCATCCAGCCCCTTGGGTCCATACAGGTGGAAGAGCCTCTCCATGGTAAAAATCAAGCAGGGCTTGGCTTGAAAGCACTTGAAAAAGCAGGTATTGCAAAGGGCTAGAGGAATACAGCGTGGCTGTAGGTCCAAGGAGTGACCTGGTAGGTTTGGTGGTTAACCTTTTAAGAGGGGCCATTAAAAACACACTTAATAACTCGGTGCCAAAAGGTGTAATGGTCCCACCATCACCATGAGAAACAGGTCTGCAGGGGACAATTAGGAGGGAGTAAAGTAGGAAAGAGGAAAACAAGGAGTTACTTGAAGAGTTAACGACAGCAGCAATTCCCACCATAGCTGCTATGAAGTTTCCATGGGAAGAAGCCCCATTTTCCGTGAGCATGGCATAAGCCCCATTTCCCGTGAGCATGGCTTTAACGGCAGCTTCCACGTGCCCTGAGAGCAAAGCCACGTTGCTCTCATCTCCCCCACATCCTTCCCTCGCGCTCTCCTGCCCGCTCTGCAAGTGCCACGGATTGCCTTTGCCAGCCTGAGTTTGCCACCACAGCCCTCGATCAAGTGGGGACCATAAAAGTGTCCCATCCCAGCCATGTCCTGGGGACATGTTCATTCAAAGCTGCCTGTAAAAGGCAGGACAAAAGGGAGGGACTGCTCATTCAGAGGGATGCATGGCCTTTCCTTCCGGCCCCTCCTCTGGCTTGCCTTGTCCTTGGGTACTCCTTATTCCCAGCTGCTATCTGCAGCGTGGTCCTATCATCAGGTGCCGTCCTTCAAGCCGGCTATAAAGGCCCACGGGGATGCAGCGTGCTCCCGGAGACAGCCCCGCTCAAGCACCATGCTGCAGGCCACCGTCAAGCTGTGCTGCGGCATCGCCCACGACCACCTCCGCCGCCCGCCCGGTGAGCACTGCTTACCTCCCCCCTGGTCTAAAGAAGAGGACTGCATCCCTTGGAAATGTCCCATCTCTCCATCTATTTTTCCTCCCACGTTGTATCATGCACAGGATAGTCTTGGTTTAGTCTTTTTTAGTTTATTTTAGCAAATAAACTTCCAGCAGAGACGTGGGGCACCACAGCGTCTTCTTCGCACGCTCCACGCTCACCAAAGCCCGTGTGTCTCTCCCCTAGGCTTGAGGATGACAGCCGTGGCGGCAGCCCAGGAGGATGTGAGAGGACTGGTGGTGAGAGGATCCCATCGCCTGCCTTCCGAAATTCCTCGTTATATTCAGAGGCTGATGGGGAAGGAGACAGGTAAGCTCAGCCCGGGCGCTTGGCTACCGCGTTTCCTAGCCCTGCGCACAACCCCCTTGCAACACAGGACGGAGGGATGTGTATTAAAGCGCACCCCTCTCCGTATGATTTGAACCGTATTTTGGGGGACAGAGCGAATTGTCTTCTCACTGCTGGGCTGATCTCCAGCTCTCTGGTAGCTGGCAAAGGCAACCCGTGGCACTTGCAGAGCGGGCAGGAGAGCGCAAGGGAAGGATGTGGGGGAGATGAGAGCAACGTGGCTTTGCTCTCAGGGCGCGTGGAAGCTGCTGTTAAAGCCATGTTCACGGAAAATGGGGCTTCTTCCCATGGAAACTTCATAGAAGCATCCCCTGTTCCGACGGCAAATTGGGTTGGCGGCGAGACCCTGAGGTTGTGGGAAGGCAAATTGCTCAATAAGCTTTTAGCAGCGTTTGCGGTCATTTCTCAGGCATTTTTTGCATGTCTGCTGTGTCTCTAGTTCTACCACTTACCTAAAGGCTTGAAAATTGGCAAATTCATCTGTTTTGGTTTTTTTTCTGAAGTGTGGCTTGGTCCAAAGGCTGGCTGTGCCATCTTAACAACACCCCAGTAACGTGCAATTTGTACCTCAGCGTTACTGGGAATTGATTTGGAAAGCGATTTCAAAAAGCTTTCCAAGCGGTCGGCACAGACGCAGCAAACAAATGCCGGGGATGCTGTGGACAGCGACGTCTCCTGCACCAAGGCATCCCCCAGCCCAAGAGGGGACCAGTTGCATGGGGGAAACAGCATGGGAAAGACGAGACTTTGGGTCAGCAAACCCTCCGCTCCAGCCCCACTTGTGCTTCTGTGCCCGCAGCCACGTGCACAAGCAGGGCTGGGGCTGGGGGGGGTGGCTTTTCACATTGCTCTGCCTTGCTCCTGCAGCCACGTGCCCGGAGCCGGACGGAGACGTTGATCCCAGCCGTTTCTCCAGCGTGGACCTCTCCTACATCACGCAGGGAGAAACGGCCCTGCGGCGAGCGCTGAGCATCCTGCAGCAGCACACCAGCTGGCAGGCAGAAATGATGCTGGTAAAGCCCGGCCGCCTCTTGCCTTTGCTGCTTCAAGCCAGAAAAGCTCTCGAGGAGGGGAGAAATGAGTCTGGGGCGGGGAGATTTGCTTCTCCGACTCCTTATCAAGGCATTTCAGCGTGCAGTCGGTGCCTCTCGGGGTGTTTGGGGTTGATGCAGGCTCTCTACTCCCCCAGGACACTGGGGCCGCCGTGTCCAGCGCTGCCCTTCCCGGGCTGGGCAAGGTGTTTCGGGCGGAGGTGGTCCTGCCGGTGCCGGTGGCACGGCTGCACCAGGAGCTGTTTGAGAGGATTGAGCACATGCCGCGGTGGAACCCCAGCCTCAGCCGGGTGAAGGTACCGTGGGGAGGGATGCAGGTGGAAAGTGATGCTAGGCAGTCTGAGATTTCGCATCACCAGGGTTGCTAGGATCAAAAAAATCGTATTTATTGAGGGTTTTAAATCCACTGAAGGGTTAAAGCTAATCCTGTGATGCTGCAAGAGCAGGGTGTCACCCCAGGGAGGGGAGATGTGCTTTCCTGGCGTGGCATTGAGAAACGTGTTTTTTCCAGGCTCTTTTTCCGCATGGTGCCTGTTCACAGGGTTTTTTCCACAGTGGAGGACTCTGACGTTGCTCAGACTTCAATATCGGGCGAGAAAACCTTCAGGAGAATCAGACAGCTCAAAAAAAAAAAAAAAAAAAAGAAGCCAAACCAAATATATCACACTGCGGGGAGCACCCCCGGGAAGCTTATGTGTTGTCTTGGGCCTCTTCATCAGCTCCCAAATCACAGCATGTCCCTAAGGAAGCTGCCAGCCTGGGAAAGCCTCCCCAAGCTCATCTGGGCTGGCTCAGATGCTACCACTTCCCTGTCCCTTCAGAAAAAGAGCTAGCATAGAGTCCCATCCCAGATTAAAAAATAAAAAGGCTGCAAAAATCATCTTCTTTCCCCCTTAACAGCCTACTAGTAGGTGCCAGCCCCAGGCTCCCACCTTGCTGCTGCTCCTGCTCACGCTGCTGTCCCCAGAGGTGGCTCAGTGTCCCCAAGGCAGGAGTAAGGGGGTGGCAGGGCTGTCCCCGGAGGGGCAGCTGCAAAAAGCCTGACCCGCAGGATGCTCCTCGCTCTGGCAGGTGCTGCAGCGTGTCGGGACGGACACGATGGTGACGCACGAAGTCACGGCTCCCGGCCCGGGCAAGCTGGTGGGTCAGCGGGATTTCGTCAGCGTGCGGCACCGTGGGAGGAGGGAGACGGCCGTCTACCTGGTGGGCACTGCCACCCACGCCGAGCCACTGCCCCCACGGGATGGGTGCATCAGGTAAAGCCCCCCCAAAGTGACCGTCATGGGGTATCGTGTCCCTGTGGGGAGGGAGACCACCGCTGCGGCCACGGATGCATGGCAAGGGATGCACACCAAGAGCCACCTCCCCATTGCGTTTGCTTTGGGATCTCCTTACCTCCATTTTTTTTTTTCCCTAACTTCCCGCTCCCTTGCCCACCACAGGGCCGAGTCCCGGCTGAGCTGCATCGTCCTGCAGCCACTGGCGGCCCCCCCAGCCGTACCCGCTTCACCTGGCTCCTGAGCATGGACCTGAAGGCAAGTGTCACTGTGTCACTTGGGGGTGGGACGGCGAGGGGTACGCACCCCGGTGTGCAAACGCACCCTGCTCCCTGGGGATAGGTCCCTCAGCTCCCTTTGTCCAAATTCGGGGTGTTTTCTCTCCCGA